TTGATCAAGCAGTTTGAAATCAGTCGGAACGGGTATGAATCCCTTCGGGTTCTTTTCAAGGAGATGGAGCCCCACCAGCGCATGAGGTCGCTTGCTCTTGCCCGTGAGCTATCGAATTATTCCAATTTCGACAAATCCAAGACTTTGCATGAGCAGTTGATTGCGTATGAGGATTTGGTCGTCTTGCAGTGGTCTTGTTTACAGTGAGGATTTGAAGCTTTCCACGATTTTAAACAATACGCCGGAGCCTTTGAGATCGCAGTTGCAACTCCGCATTTCTGCTACTACAACGTATGCGCAATTGAGAGAAATGGTGCTTCAGTTTGAGAAACTCAACACGCGATGGGTTGGTTCAACAAGCATGCCAGCTTCAGGAAATCCATACAGTTCAGATGGACCTGCGCCTATGGATGTTGGCAGAGTAGAGGATTGGTATAAAGGGGGAAAAGGAGCAGGTGGCAAAAAGGGAGATGGCAAAGGAAAGAAAGGAGGAAAAGGAAAGTTCCCCAAAGGAGGGAAAGGAGGTGGAAAGTCTTTTGGTGGAAAGAAAGGAGAAGGAAAGGGCAAGAAAGGAAAAGGATATTCTAGCCCAAACCCAAAAGGAGGAAAAGGGAAAGGCAAAGGAGATCCGAGCAAAACAGATGTTTGCAACTACTGTGGAGGCCGAGGACATTGGAAGAATGAATGCTGGAAGCGCCAAGCAGACAACAAAGCTTACGCTCGAACTGTTCCAGACATGTCCCAAGCCCCAGCAGACAGTTCCAGGGCGTCCACTGTCGATAGTGACTCAACATGGAGAACTGGTGGTAGTGTGAGGCGAGTTCGGTTAACCACACCCCCTTGGCTTTGCACCACTGAGATTTTCGATCTTACCGAAGAGGGCGATGCAGATTTTCATGGAGAAGATGAGGGTGTGTCTATGATCACAGAGACTTCTGGTTGCAAACCTGAGCATTTTGATTTGACGTACAGTGACATGGATGGGCTGTGGAATATCTTTCCTTCCTTACATGAGTTTGATTTGACAGATGATTTCCCAGAGTCGTGCGATTTGCAAACAATCAGTTCAGGTGTGGTTCCTGAGTGCGTGATCTTGGACTCGGGAGCCGATTGCAGTGTTGCGCCACCCAGTTTTAGTGCATTTGGATCTCGGTCTTCAGGTCGACAGCCAGTGTTGCATGATGCTCAAGGAGGTTTGATCAGTTCGAGTGGAGCCCGCACTTGCACCCTCACTTGCAACACGCTAGGTGGTGAACGCATTGCTTTCAAAGAAACCTTCGTCATTGGGAATGTCAAAAGTCCCTTGGTCAGTTTGGGGAAGCTTGTGAAGCAGGGCTGGCAGGTTTCGCATGTTGATGGCCCTGCTTGCCTTTCCAATGGCCGGCATCATATCCCGATTGGAATGAAGAAGAATACCCTGGTTATGGATGTCCATGTTCGTGCAGTTGGAGCCGAAGAAGAAGACTATGAGCCAGACGTATTTGGCCGTGGTATTCTTCCTGAAGGCCTTGATCAAACTTTAGAGCCTCCGGCTCAGTCCGCCGACATTGTCCTCTCCCTTTTCTCCTTCTTCCTCTCTTCCTTGTCTCCCTTGTGTGTTCTGTCGTCCTCTCTCCCTCCCTCTGCTCCCATCCTCCCCATCCCCCCAAGCCTCTCTCTCCCCACTCTCCCTCTCTCGTATGTATGCATGCATGTACATATGTATGTATGTATGTAATGTATGTATGTATGTATGTATGTATGTATGTATGTATGTATGTATGTATGTATGTATGTATGTATGTAATGTATGTATGTATGTATGTATGTATGTAAGGTATGTATGTATGTATGTATGTAATGTATGTATGTATGTATGTATGTATGTATGTATGTATGTATGTATGATGTATGTAATGTATGTATGTATGTATGTATGTATGTATGTATGTATGTATGTATGTATGTATGTATGTATGTATGTATGTAAATTATATTTAAATGTAATGTAATGTAATGTAATGTAATGTAATGTAAATGGTAATGTATGTATGTATGTATGTATGTATGTATGTATGTATGTATGTATGTATGTATGTATTGTAATGTATGTAATGTATGTAATGTATGTATGTATGTATGTATGTATGTATGTATGTATGTATGTATGTATGTATGTATGTATGTATGTATGTATGTATGTATGTATGTATGTATGTATGTATGTATGTATCGTATGTATGTAATGTATGTATGGTATGTAGGTATGTATGTAATGTATGTATGTATGTATGTATGTATGTATGTATGTATGTGTGTAATGTATGTATGTATGTATGTATGTATGTATGTATGTATGTATGTATGTATGTATGTATGTATGTATGTATGTATGTATGTATAATGTATGTATGTATGTATGTATGTATGTATGTATGTATGTATGTATGTAATGTATGTATGTATGTATGTATGTATGTATGTATGTATGTATGTATGTATGTATGTATGTATGTAATGTATGTATTAATGTAATGTAATGTAATGTAATGTAATGTAATGTAATGTAATGTAATGTAATGTAATGTAATGTAATGTAAATGTAATGTAATGTATGTATGTATGTATGTATGTATGTATGTATGTATGTATGTATGTAATGTATGTATGTATGTATGTATGTATGTATGTATGTATGTATGTATGTATGTATGTATGTATCTAATGTATGTATGTATGTATGTATGTATGTATGTATGTATGTATGTATGTAATGTATTATGTATGTAAGTAATGTATGTATGTATGTATGTATGTATGTATGTATGTATGTATGTATGTATGTATGTATGTATGTATGTATGTATGTATGTATGAAATGTATGTATGTATGTATGTATGTATGTATGTATGTATGTATGTATGTATGTATGTATGTATGTATGTATGTAAGTAATGTATGTATGTATGTATGTATGTATGTATGTATGTATGTATGTATGTATGTATGTATGTATGTATGTATGTATGTAATGTATGTAATTTATGTATGTATGTATGTATGTATGTATGTATGTATGTATGTATGTATGTATGTATGTATGTATGTATGTATGTATTTTATGTATGTAATGTATGTAATGTATGTATGTATGTATGTATGTATGTATGTATGTATGTATGTATGTATGTATGTATGTATGTATTGTGAGAGGCTGTTAATCCTAAACCAAGACAACCCAGAATCCAGAAATCCACTCCTCACACCCGTGTCCCGACTCTCTGGCACACCCGCGAAGCGGCTCGTTGTTTTCACAGGCAGCGCACTCATTCACCGTGCGCATGTGGCTTGAGCCAAAATAGGCACGCCACTCCAACTTCCTCAAGGTGGACATGTCAACTCGCAAGACATGTTTACTCGTGCAACCTCAAGCAAAAATAGCTCACTTACCAAAACCTAATGCCTATGGCTGCAATGACAAAATCATGCATGAGAATGCCAAGATCTGCAGTCGCCCCCAGTTGCAGCCTCCAGCCGCGGCGGGGAATGCAACTCCAGAGCATTCTCATCCTTAATTGTGGGAACAGCCCCATTCTTCAAATTGCGGGGGCTCCCTATCCTATTCCACTGGGCAGTGGCCAATTCCTTATACCCTTCATCCGGCCCTGGACCTGGGCTCAGTACTGCTTCGGCTCGGCTCACCCGATCTTTCCAACCTGGAGAGTTGCAGTCGCAGCTTCTCATTCTCAGTCTCCAGCGCCTTGTCTAGCAAGTGAACCAGCTTGCCGCTCCCATCGACGGCTAGCTTAATCCAACTCACAAACTTCTCATTCTGCTTCTGGCTGAAGAAGACCTGATTCTGCATGGTGCCCAGCAAGGCCAAATAGTTACTGAAGAAGGCAGAATCCGAGTTGTCATACTTCTCCGCGTTGTATGCAGTGTGAATCTTATCCACGGTCTGGGAGACCTTGAGCGCCAAAGCGCTATCCACAGCGCCTCGCCCGGAAAGATTGAACACAGCCGCGTTAAGCCTGGAAAGGTGGTCAGATCGCAACGATCCCGGGGGGTTCGATTCCTTACGAATGTCGTTGAGCACCTGTTGCAAATACAACACAGCTCCCTCCGAAGTTGCCAACGGACTCGAGAAATCGTCCCTGACCAAACCTGAACTCTGCCCGCGAGCGTCATCCCGCTCCGCACTGGCCACTCTCGGTTGCTTATTCCTACTCCCGGCACCCAGCTCCTTAGCCTTACTCACTAGGCCTTGAAGGCAACCGACTTCGACATATTCACTCCTAGATGGAGCCGAACGCGACCTTAGCGAAAATCCCGGCCCATCGCTGCCTGGCCACGATAATGTGCTGGCATTCCGTACCCAGGTCAATGAACGCTTTGCAGGTACACTTCATAACATTCCGTCCCAAGACCAACTCCTCTGTCACAAAGACATGACCCGTCCTTGTCATGAATTTCTTGGTCCTCTGGCCTTCCCCAAGCATATTGCCGTGAAGTCGGTGCATGGCTTTGTTCCTACACTTGCGGGATACTGTCCAACCACACCACGTCATGAAAACAACAAACATGCTCATCAAGGTAGCCCGCAGGAACAGCCCCATAGTCTCCACAAGAGCAACTCCCTGCGAACCCATTTTGTCGACTAAGAGGACCGTGTTGACCGAAACACTCCCCATGACATCTTCCACAACATTGTCAATCTGGACCACCCCTTTGTAACCAAGAGGGATGAGGGCAAGCATGGTTCCCCAATAAACGAGGTTCAATTGGTTGCCATGCTCAGCATGGGCCTTCTTGTTCCGGCCTTTCCGGCTCGAGAAACCAGGCCTCCGCACTTTCTTTCTACTGCGCTTCTTGCGGTCGCCTTTGCCAGGATGCCGTCGCCCGCCCCTCTTTTTGGGCTTGCGACTGAACTGGCGAAATGCATCCTCATCCTCTGTCACGACATCATCCGAGCTGTCCTGCTCGCATGTGCCCTCTCGAGCACGGCTGCACTTATAGCACGTCAGCCGTGCTTTGACGTTCCTTCCGCCACATTGGCGGCAGTCCCAACCGCGGCCTGCAGCAAGCTCTTCCAAAGCTTCGGCCCGCGCGGACTGTCGATGCCGCCTCTCGGTGCTCCGAACATGTTCACCTGCTGGTCCTCGGCCGCTCGCGCCGGCCGACTCAGGATGTGGCCGAATGTCATCATCTTCGTCCTCATCGGAGCGCCGCATGACACTCACTCTCTTCGTATTGCGGGACCAAGGAAATTGACGCACTGGAGCCGGCCTGGACTCTCCCGGACCGAAAACTCCTCCCGGTCTCCTCCATGGCGGAGTGGCCTTCGGTTTCACCACAGCTCTCACCGGTTCCACTGGCCCGGACCGACTCCTTGATCGGCTCCTGCTCTTCAGCCTCAACGGCTGGCCGCCACCACCACCTCGATCGTCGGGATAAAAACTGTCATCATCTCCTCCAGATTCCCCCTCTCCCGACTCCTCGATCTCAACGGACTCCTCGTCGTCGAGAGACACAAATCCGGTCGGCGGTTCCGCCGGTGCCGGCAACGGCGGCGGAGCAATTTCATCATCTTCTTCCGGAACCGCGGCAGAGCCTCTGGATGATTCCCGCTCCGCGCGTTCCTTAGCTTCCTACACCTCAGAGAGAACCCAGACAGGTCGGAGTTGCTGACCCATATCTGCCCTTTCTCAACGGGGTTTCCAAACGATCCGTCACTCACGTCCAACGAGGTCATGTTGTACTGACAGGAGTCGGTCCGAACCATGGCCCAAGGCCTCCTAGGTTCAACGAGGGTCCCGAATCTCTTGACGAAAAGTTCAAGGGAAAACAGCAAACTCCCGACAGGGTTCTCAAGGGTTCCGATGCCGTTCGCTTTCTCCTGGTGGCTAAGCAGGTCACATGAAAACTCTGCTAGAGCCAAATCCTCACTCGAGGGGGTCTGCTCGCCCAATCTGCTCAGCTTTTCACACGGCGCCCCCACATGGAGGACTTTCGGTTTCATCACCTTGCTGATCAACCAAGCAAGGAGCGCCCGGTCCGAGTTCCTTCGCAGATCCCAATCCCGACCGTAGCTTCTACACAGCCGGTCAACGGGTTCTCCAACCAACAGACCACGGCGCCTAGCGGCCTTAGTGAGCCCACCGTGTCCGGCGAAAACCTCCAAGAAGTCAACTCCGTGCTGGGGCACACCTTCATTCCGAAGGTATTCAAGGACAGCTTTCTGTTCTCTCGCGAAGCCGTCCGAAGGACCAGCGGCGAACACTCCCACGCCACTTTCTGTTTTTCCGCCCTTGAGGATCCCGACCAGGTCGTCCAGGGGCTCAGAGTACTCATGCTCCCCTCGCCTTTCCGGGTCCCTCTGGGCCGGAGGCCGCTCTTCGAGGCGGTACCCACCTTTGTCAAGCTTCCTGGCAGATGAAGCTTGCAGGATTCCATCCCTGCTCAGCTCAACCTTCGTGATGAGCAAGCTCATCTTCACTTCCTCTATGCAAGGACGTCCTCCTTCCGGGGCCAGAGATTCTTGCCCCTGCTGGTCCAAGTACAGAAGGCACCACTTCACACGCAGTCCACCGATCTCCGGCGCATACTTGTGAACGTGCACTACTCCTTCCGAGACCGCAACTGACGTGACCCGTCCAATTGCGCAAAGCTTCGGACCGTATCCTTTTCTGAACGCGATCACGTCTCCAATCTTCAGGACGTACTGCTTACCTCTTCTCTTCATCGTGAACTCGACCTGCTTAGTTTCCCCTTTGATCATCTGACCTAAGCTGGGTCTCGAGTCGTCCGGATCCGAATCAAATTGGATCTCATCTCTGGCGTCGGCACACACATCGTCCGGGATCAAGACGCAATCTTCGGCATGAGCTGCGAGAGGCTGGGCGCCGTCGGGTCCGGCCAACTGTAGTCTGTTCCCTTTGCACGAAACGACTTCCCAAGGGCCGGTCAGACCCTTCTTCCACGGCACTCGCCCTTTCGCCCCCGGGTCTGACAGGCCCGGAGCACGCCACACCACACGATCCCCGACTTTGAGGTCCACCTCGCGACGGTATCGGTTCGCGAGCCTCACACGGGCCTCGCTCGCGCTCGTGAGATGGTCCTTCACGACCTTGCTCACAGCCTTATATTGGCCAAAAATCTTCCGAGCCCAGTCCGAGACCGGCTCAAATTCCAAAGTGCTCTTGAGTAGGTCTTTTTCCAGAGGCACACCCAGGGACCAAGCTCTGTCCAGGTCTCTGGGCGTATAGCCATGAGGACCCGGGGTCGTGTCGATGCAGTATTCCACAACTGCGAGAAGGTCGCCCCAATGGTCGGTGTGCCCCCTCGCCACATCTTTGACAACGATCCCAAGCATCTTCTGCACTTCTTGATGCACCCTCTCATTGGCACCCATCTCACACGGACGGAGAGGGTGAGAGAGCCACTGACTCGCACCGATGAGGGCGCACTATTCAGCGAACATCGCGGACCTAAACTCAGGTCCTCTGTCCGACCGTACCAAGGTCGGTAGCGTCCTGCTACGCAAGACACACCTGGCGAAGGCGCGCCTAACTTCAGCGTGGTTGAGGGCACGGAGTGGCTCCAAGTAAACCGCGTGCGAGAGACAGTCCATGTACGTCAAGGAATACCGATTCCCTGCGTAGTCCTCCTTGTTTGGACCCTCGCAATCGACAGACACCTCTTGCCAGCAATAGTCAGCCGCCGGTTTCATCGGCTTCGTGGTGACTTTAGTCGCCCTCGACCTCGCCTTAAAGCACGTCAGGCACTTTCCTACCCAGGAGTTGATATCTTCTTTCATCGTGGCCCACCAGACCACACGTTTCATGAGAGCATACGTCTTCTCAGCCGACCGATGCGCGCCGAACACTCCACAATGGAACTGGAGGTAGCACGCCTACCGCCAAGTAACTCCAGAGCTAGCAGCGACTCCATTCGGCACTACTGGCACCGTGGACACTGCACCGCCTGGCAGACTGACTTCCTTCTCAAGCATCCCGTCTGCAGCCCTCTTGTATCCTTCCGGAGTCTTCCGGAGTGACTCCGCGAGTGAGGGGTCCTTGGATTGAGCCTCAACCCAAGACGCTCGCAGGGAGCCTGTCACTTCAAAGTTCGACATCCCCGCCGCGGCCTTTGCTTCTTCAGCAAGGCGACTCCTATCTTCAAAACTGTAGACATGCCCGACAGGGTGCGCGTAGTCAACCACCACCCACCTTTTGGAGAAGTAGGCAAGCACGCCCCGCGGGCCTTCGCTCGGCTTCACGACGAAGACCATCGTCGGCCTACGTCTGCTCTCTTCCACTCGGATCTTCTTGCCCAGCTCAAACGGATCCCAGTGATTCCCGGGGCTTCTGAGCTGAAACCCGACTAGGACATTGCCGCGTCCTTTGCTAACCAAATCCCGCCTGTGTCCGACCGACGTTTGCCCGTCGCCGTCGGTCCATGCCACGACCTCTACGGGAACTCCGATCAGTCCGATCAGGCAGTTGAATCTGGCACTCATCTCCTTGCTTCCGGTTTTCCATACCGAATCGCACTGAGCGTTCACCACACTCCTGTGACAGTGCCAATTCAGCCCCTGGAGGGCCCCATTCAGGTTCAGAGCTCTCCAGAGAACCGACCTTGCAACAGTTTTGCACCGTCAATACAGTCCCGTCCGGCTCAACGGCCCAGACAGTCCGGTACGGATACTTTTCGACCTGGTCACCGGACAGCTGAGGGATTTCGGGCGAATGCCCCTTGTCCCAGCGTCCTTTTCTGATTCCGCCCTTGCCTGGCATCTTGACGGTCCACTTGGCGCCCCCAGATCCAGATTTCGGCAGGCTGCCGCCTCCCCAAGAGTGGATTGTCTTAATCCCGACAACCTTGGTAGTCCCGTCCGGTTCGCACATATTGGATGCCGCTCCGACTTCTTCTATCAGCGCAGCTCCGTCCAGTTCCTCAAGATCTCCTCGTTCTTCGCGTTCTTTCCTGTCCTGCGCTTCGACTACAGCATCTTGCGCCTCTCGTCGGATGCACGTCGGGCACCGGCTGAAAACGTAGGTACGCTTTCCGCAGGCACAGAGCCCGTCGTGCTCCCACATCTCTCTATCCTTCTCCCTGGCCAGACCAGCCAAATTCTGACTTGATCCGCCCAATCTCCGGCACTCTCAGCACCTCCACGACCTGTTTCACTTCCTGGTCCTTCACGGTGCCCTTTGGCACCGAAGCATAGCCCTTGATCGGCTCCACTGGAAACTCCAGAGCCAACTCCGGGCAGGCCGCTTTCAAGAGGCCGGCTTCAGGTTTAGTTCTCCACCACCGCGGGGCTACTGCCCAAATGGCTTTCACTCGAGCCCACGCCAAGCAAATCTCCTGCGCTTCCTTTCTCTGCAGATTCCTAGCCTGCAGAACCACTTCCAAAACCAGAGGCCACCGCAGAATCCCTGCGACGATTCCTCCTTGCCTGAAACCAACAACGAAGTCCGGCCCATAATCCGCAATGGCCCGGGCCAGCTTGGCGGCAGAAGTCAACAAGTCGACTCTAGCCCTCTTGACCTTCCGGTCTCCTTGCAACCTACCGGTGGCCCCGTCAAACTGCGCCCAAACTCCGTCGTCATCCTCGAAGGCTCCATAGCATGGGTGAACAGTCACCGTCCACTCAGGCATCTTAAACTCTTCACAAACGCGTTGAAGCGCTTTCTCAGCGTCATTCTCATAGTCCACTGCGACCAGGATCTTCAGCTTCGCAGCGACAAGCCCATGAAGGCTACCGACGTACGCAACGTCTTCATGCCCGCCTGGGAGGGCGTGGTCGCCCGCTGTCCAAGGCACTGGTCCCTCCGGCATTTCATCCGAGAGATAGGCATCCAGATCGAATCCTCTGAGCTGCCCGGAGAGCCCGCGCACGTCCAGCGTCCTCTGTTCCAGGAGCTCATCACGTCCTTTCGGATTTTTGCTGAATGCATCGCCCAACTTGGCTGTACGGCCTGCTAGCGACCGAATCTCCGAACCATCCGCTATGATCTCGGCCACCCATCTGAGAAGTTTCACATCTCCTCCGATGTCCGACCCTTGAGCTCTGGTCAGATTCGCATGGTCCGTCCAACAGATGGCCCGGATCCCTAGGACTTTCCTCGAAGCACGCTTCACTTCAAGCTGCGCAAACGCTTCTTGGATGAGAGGAGGCCACGCCTGTTGAGGAGGTGTTAGGCTCTTACTGTGAGTGAGGAGGACCTTCATCTTAGTCCGATCCCTACTCATCTGGAGTACTGTACCTCCGACCGCGATCCCAGACGCGTCGGCGATCTGTTCCAACGGACATTCACCGGTTATGGCGGTCGCCTCAACAAAGATCGAGAGCTCAATCTGCTCCGTCATCATCCGCTTGATGGCCTTCACAGCCTTGCACCCATCCG